AAAGATGTTGAGACTTTGGAAAAAATGCAAAGAGCAACTAAGATGATTAAGAACCTTAAGACAAAACATTGAAGAATGGGCTTTTCAACCAATGGTACATGTAGCACATTAGCACATGGCAGCCATGCCCAGGCAAGTGTAGTGGGAAAGGGAATGAGGCAGCATAGGAAAGGACTTGTTGTGAGGGAGTCCTACAGTGGCTGGCTTACTTCTGGCTCACCCAGAAGAGAAAAGAGGAGGAGAGAGGCGGAGACAGGAGAGGTTATAAAAGGAAACAGTTTGGGTGGGAGAGGGAGAGAGAGAGAAAAAGCAGCAGCCTTGGGAGGAGGCAGAGTCAGTTCTAGCTGCACCAAAGGGAAAGAAGGAGGAGGAGGAAGGAGAGGGGAGAGGAGAGGAGATCAAGCAGGCCAGCCATGAGCTGACCTATAACTGCTATGACAGTCACCTGTGCTAGCAGCAGCAAACAGGAAAGAAATGCAGCGGGGGAGGGGTTGTCCTCCACAAGGAATGAAAAAAGGCAGCAATGAAGAAAGGCAGCATCTGCTGGAGGTGAAGCACAGAGAACGGAGGGAGATGGAGAGTGGAAAGATTCTTTTGTGCTTTTGTAACTTTGAAGTTCTGGGATTTGTGCAATGTGGGCTTTGTGTTCTTAAGGAGTGTTTGGCAATTTCTATTTGGCTGATGTTAGCTTCTATTGCTCTGCTATTGTTAGCTGTAAGTTTTGCTGCAAGGGATTTTGAAGTATTTTTCTTCTGAATGGATTTTGCCTGTAGCCATTTGGGGAGACTGCCTTAGCTGGCAGTCAATACTTATTACATTTTTTTTCTTCCTAAAGTGCCAGCTGTGCTCCTTAACTTTCCTTTCTAGCCAGTAGCTAATTCTTAAAGGGGAATGCACCTTTTTAAGCTAGTTCCCTTAATGGCTTCTTTTTTCTGTCTCTGGAGGCTTTTCCTTGTTTGATGAATATATGGAAGAGGGAAAATATGGGGGGTTTCAAATTTTTCCTTCAAAAGGAAGGAGGGAGGGAGGGAGGGAGGGAGGGAGGGAGGGAGGGAGGGAAGGAAGTCCTGCTTTAGCACTTGGCCACCAGCAGCCCTTCCATTGACTTTGCTTGTCAAAAGGTTGCAAAAGGGGATCACATGACCATGGGACACTGTGACCATCATAAATATGAATCAGTTGCTAAGCATCCAAATATAAATCACATGATCCTGGGTATCCTGCAATGGTCATAAGTGTGAAAAATGGTCATAAGTTATTTCAGTGCAATTGCAACTTTGAAAAGGGTTGGGGGGGTTTTTTGGTTTTTTTTTTTTTTTTTTGGTCATCAAGTTTTGACACCTTCCTAGGTGGTACTGGAATATTGCCATATCCTCAAAGTGGTACAGTCGGTGAAAAGGTTGAAAAGCCATGAACTAAAAAACCTCCAAAGACTCATCCAGCTCTATTCTGATTGAAAATTGAGTGCAGGTGGACACATAAGTGGGTGGGCACACAAGTGACTGCTAAGGGTGGACATAAGTGCAGGTGGAAACGGCAGACTACAAGATTCCCCCTACCACTGAAGGATTCCTCTAGAGAAAAATTTGTAGCAGCAGCAGAAGTGACGTGTTTGAGTGACTTGTAATCTCCTGCCAGCTTCCCTATTAACACTACTTGTGGGAAGTCAGCAGGGAAAGTTTCAAATGGCAATCCTGTGATCACAGGATGCTGCAATTGTCATAATTGAAAGCAATTGTCAAGTGCCCAAATTGAAATAATCTAATCATGGGGACATTGTAAAGGCCATAATTTTAAGGACAGTTGTTAATGTACTATAGACAAATAGCAGTTTGGGAGTGGAGCTAAAAGAGGGATCAGCCTAGAATCCCATAGCCACAAGTCTAACCTCTATTGAATTATCTAATTCCAAACAGATGCTGTTAGTTGAGAAGATTCCCATCCATAGGCATGATAAATCATATAAAGCAATAAATCAGTTTCATCAAATCTTTATGTGTAGACCTAATTTTTGCACCTGACATGTCCATTATTCAGCTCTGTCATAACTTTGAAAGGTCACTGAACAAAAAAATATAACCCAAGAACAACCCAAAGACTATTTGATAGTGTTTCTTTATATAAAGTGATAATGCATAATATAGTTTCTACAAGCTTGTTCCATATATATGTATATATAATTTTTTTATTATGGTCACAGACCAGCATTATAAATAAAAACATTAAAAACAACAATGACAGTAAAAAAAAGACAGAATAATATATTGGGATTAGTGGTGAATTATCAGTGGGTAGTTACAGTCTGCCTAATTTTACATACAGCAAAACAGAATTTGCCACATTCAAATATTGTCACTTATTTTGTGAGTTCCAAATCAACATGGAAGGCATATTAATATTTTAAATAAATTTAAGAACATTTGGAATTAGGCCACACTAGTGGCTGGTTAGACACATGAGCGCACAGCTCAACTTACACAAGTGGTAGGCCAATGGGCAATTACATGCATGTACGTTGGCCCGCCACTTGCGCAATCCAGTTCCCGTCTCCCCCCCCCCAGTTGGGCTGCCAAACTGCAAAGGTTGGGGACCACTGAGCTAGGAAAGCTGAACCAATAAAATTGTAGAAATGTTTGAAATTGCACATTTATATGTTTATTATTTGAGTTGAAATATTATTTGTGTAATATTTGAAAATGAGTATAATAACTAAGTTCTAAAGAAACCAATAGAAAATACTGCCTTTGATTATTCTCTCTGGTGAAAGAGGAGGCTGAAGGCCCCCAAAAGTAAATACTTTGCCTCTCTGAGTCCCATTCAATACACTTGTACTAGACTCAAGGAATGTCTGCTTCATTATAACCAGGCAAAAATCACTATTAGGCATGTTGTGTCTATTATTCTGATTAGACCACATTAAAATGCAATCTGTAATTTGAAGAAGCACTCTTGGAAATTTGAAAACCTTTTTATAATGTTTTATGTGTCTTCTAGTCTCTGTAAGAGACTATACTACTCACAAAGATCAACTGTCTGAGTGTGTAATCTCACAATTTCTCTTTTTTACAGAGGGACTAGAGGCTGGCTATAATTTGTTGTTTCATCTCCAATCACCACTACAACGCCATTCCTTCTCATTCAGGAACACTATAAAGATAGTCCTTGACTTACAACAGTTCATTTAGTGACCGTTCAAAGTTACAATGGCACTGAAAAAAGTGACTTATGACTGTTGCAGCATCTCCATAATCACATGATCAAATTCAGACTGACTCATATTTATGATGGTTGTAGTGTTCCAGGGTTATGTGGTCACCTTTTGTGACCTTCTGACAAGCAAAGTCAATGGGGAAGCCAGATTAATGTAACAGACATGTTACTAATTTAACAACTACAGTGATTCTCTTAACAACTGTGGCATGAAAGGTCATAAAATGGGGAAAACTCACTTAACAACTGTCTAGATTAGCAGCAAAAATTTGGGGTTCTGTTGTGGTATAAGTTGAGGACTACCTGTACTTTATTTCTCATAGTGCAAAAATCATTTAACAGATTTTGTCATGTCCTCTAGCGTAGGACCCACTTAAGCCTTAAAGATTTTCAAGTATAATAATCCCCAATTTAGAGGCAATCTTTGTCATCTATTTTGTATGTTCCCAGTTCAAGGATGCAGCCCTTTCATTATCTCAGAGGCTAACTTAGAAGCAGTTTTCCAGCCATGTACGAGTCAGAAATTACAAGGATTATTTAACTCTATCAATAGCAAGTAGAGTTGCTTTCCTACTTAAAACTTTACCTTTCTAAACTAAATATTAGTAGATCACAGAAAAGCACTACAGCTCTTTTCAGGGTTAACCTAATAGGTAAAGGTTCTGCAGTGTACAATATTCTTATACTGTCAAAACCTAGATTGCTATGTACATCCTCCACTTTCTATTAGTAATCACTTCCTAACTGACTTTCTTGTGATCTCAACCAAGCCATGACAGCAATTTTTGCTGTCTGCATGATTCTTCCTTTGGAAACAAATTAACAACTGATAATGACATTAAAATTCTACATCATAGAAATAACTTTAATCTCAGTAAAGGAAAACTAAGTAAATCTGGAAAACAAAAGGGATTTGATTTTGAAATTGCAATTTAAAATACCAATTCATTCTAAGTTACAGGGAAAACCTGAATTAAAGGGAGGATGTGGAAGTGATCAGCTTTTGAGTTGTTTAATTGTATAAGAAAGGGAGTGCATGTTTATATGGAAGCCTTCTTGGGAACAGAAGATAGCAGACTGAGCCTTCCCTTGTTCACTCTACAAAACACCATATACAATAAGGAACCTGTGTAAACGTATATGTCTGCAGACTGACTATTTTGTAGATTCCAGGAGTGCCAAGGATCCTGACAACATGCAACTTGCAATAATAGAATAGGCTTTTCAGTCTGGAGCTTTGGGATCATTACGGACATAAATAATCTAATACAGCTGGTCCCCATCAGGGTGAGAGATAATACAAAAAATGCTGGAGTGGAAATCCAACTTTTTTTTTGGCAATGAATAGGGTTGAAAACAACTAAACTGAATTTAATTCACAACTTAATTCTGAACTTAATTCTGTCACACCAAAATAAGCAACTCTGAGGCTATATGAAAATTGAAGTACCATAGGGAATTTCAACTGATACTGCTTGTTCTGTCATCATGCTGAAAGGAGATTAAAAGTTGCACCATCCTAACTTCCTACTCATTAGTACTCTTGAAAATAGATCAGCCTTTTCCTGTATTGCATCTTGGTAATATACAGTAATTTCCACACTCACTTCGATAGGGTCAGATCACTTCAAAGAAAATTTTACCTGATTATCTGCTGCAATTGGGAAATGAGATCAAGTGAACAATACGAGAACAGAGAAGCATCTCAAAGTCTATGTTTTCTTTATTCTCTCCATCATTATACTTTTGGATATGAATGCACATATACACAAATACAAGATTATACTCACAGGCGCTGCGATTCCGACGGGGAGGGGGCAAAACTAGCCCAGGGACTTTTCCTTCGCTTTCCGAGCACTTCAGCACGTTGGACAACTCCTGGAGCACTTCAGCCGCGGCTGGGTCAGGCCTGCCGCTCCCTTCCCAGGCGCCGGAAACAGGTGGGAGTTTGCGAACAGGCGCTTCTACAGTTGCGGCCGTCATCGCTTTGGTCCGGCTTTTAAAGGTTCGCGGCTTTCTAGAGGCGACCCGTGGAGGAGCTGCCGGTTCCGAGGTCAGCTGCACCACTGTGTTGCGCGAGCGGGTGAATGCTGAGGTGACGGAACCCATGGCCGCGCGGGGAGATTTGGCTCAGTCAGAGAACTTCGCTCGAGGCCAGACCAAGCACTTCGTCCGCCCTCACTCCGGAACTCCGCCTTTCCCCGCCCTTGCCAGGCTCTGGGAACTCAACTTTCTCTGTTTCAGGCGGCAACTTCAGGTCCCCGCGCTTTGTTTTTTCATGCTGATTCGCTCCTTCTGACTCTCGGAGACAAAAAATCTAAAGTGAGCAGCATCCTGGAGTTTGCCGTCCCATCGTTGGTGACAGGCAAAGGAGATTCTCGAAGCCTGTCATCACTTAGCTCTTTCTGTACTTATATTTACTAGTTATATGGAACAGTGATAAATATTTTCTTTTCCGTGACTTGCTGTGTTGTGGAAAGGGAAATCCAGAGAGTCGGGAAACAGTTTGCTAACCAGGTTATTTGTGCAAAAACAATTATTTTATTAAATTAAAGCTAAAGAAATTCATAGAGCCACTTTGATGTAGTGATTAAGGCACACCAGGCTAGAAACTTGGAAACATGAGTTCTAGTCCTGATTTGGCACAAAGCCAGTTGGGTGACCTTGGACCAGTCACTCCCTCCCAGCCCTAGAAAGAAGGCAATAGCAAATAACTTCTGAAAAACCTTATTAAGAAAACCAGGGACTTTTTGAGGCACTCTCTGAGAATTAGACACAATTGAAAAGAAGAAGAAAAAATTACAATAGTGCCTTGGAGATAAGGGTGGGAAACTATTATTACTTTATTCATGCTGAGCACAAGAACTGACAAGAAAGTTTATTTTATTCCAAATAAAATTAAAAGTCTGCTTAGGTTGTGTCACTCTTATAGTAATCCTTTATGGTATGAGAAGGCTCCAGATTCAGCCAATCCTTACATGATGCCCTTCAATGTCTGTCATCCATACACACCAAGGATTTACTAAGAAAAATGGGAGATCTTGTCTGGATAGGGAACCTAAGAGATTGAGACTTAGCACTTGGACAGAGACTACCAGCAAATTCCATAGATGTAGACTAGATCAGGAAGATGAAAAACATCCCAGAAAAAGCAAAACTGCATAGATGAGCCCATGAAGCCTTAAGAATTGAGATCAGCTAAAAGACTGTGTTTTTCTAGCTGGAAATCATCGAATTGAAGAAAACTGTATTTATTGACTAGTTTAAATGTATTTAGATTTGATCATTTTAATCCTTTTGCTTTCCTCATACACACCGTCCATCATCTGGGGATCAAAATTTCTTTAAATAGTTTTACTTATCTTGATTTATTTACATGCTTGAAAAGAAACAATATTCTTTTCCTTCTAGAGTAATCTAATATCTTAAAAGGTGAAAATACCTCAAGTTGATCTCAACTTCTAATAATTGTTCCTATGCAGTTTTCGTGGCATTTATAGATTTGCCCTTATCTTCTTCAGAGATTCTTATTTGTTTGATTTTTTAATTTAGCCAGTTGTCCTGGAATTCACAGGTACTGTCTCATCTCATCACTAGCCAAACCAATCCTATATGGCTTTTAAGAGCAACCAATGTCAGCTAGAAGCTGCCACACACCATATTTATTTACAAAATTTGAGGGAGAAAACCAAAATTGGGGGGGGACTGGTTGGGATGTTGGAAACCTGAAAATAAAAGTCTTTTTGATAATCAAGGGGAGATGAATTCATATAAACAACAGGGAAATTATTGAAGTATAACTGACAATACTGTACCATTTTCTATTCTGGAAACTATATGCTAATGCATCTGGAAAACATTGGGCTAGGAGGAGATGACATAATGGGGACCACAGTTAGGAATTTTCAGAATCCCTAACAATGCAAATAACATTGTGAAGGTACTATGTCTCATTTTTATTAATGGGTTTTCATAATAATAAATGAGAAGGAAAAGGATTTCCTCTAGCTCAGTTCCCAAGATCTGTTTTTAGAGGAGGCACATCCCACACATGAAAGAGTGATGAGTCAAAGTAATCAATATTTCAAAGGGATCAATACTTTTCATTCAACATTATCAGACTGCTGTCCAGGGAGCAAGCTTTTGGTCCTTTGGCATTCTCTTATCCTGGATCATAATTGAAGAAGGTGTTCTTTTCTTATTGGTAAACTGAAAGCAGGTTAAAAACCATCCTCTTTACAGAACCTTTGGAAGCTAGGTTTAAATAAAGTTGGCTATTATTTTGGCCCTGGAAGTTATAATTTTATGTTTTTATATACTGTATTAGGGAATAATTTGGCTCACAATTTTTATGTTGATTTCATGGTTAAAAGATTCTATTGATATTTTATTGTTGTGAATTTAAGACAAAGAAAGTGGCACACAAATAATATAAAATAAATAAAATCCTAATAATTAGTTCAATATTTAGGGTTTCTTTACTTACATTCATTTAATAAGCTATGAGCCACATAGCTATATTAAGCATTGCATTTTGTTTGGAACCAAGTTGCAAGTGTCATAAATGAATTAGCAGTAGCAACTCATTTATTTCTCCATTATATTCCTATAAATAGTCATATGTTGCTAGGCCTTTCATAGGTAAAGATTATCCAAAAATGGGGAATCTAGTAGGAGTTAGCATGTTATTGTTTAGTGTAATGCTGATTAATAATTAGTAAAAACTTTCCTGATCCGACAACAAAGAAGAGAGAAAAGAGAATATCTTCATGTTTCCCACATTTAATGCTTGTCTTTCTGCATTATTTCAGTCTCTGCAAGGGAGAATATTTGTGAGATTTTAAGGCTATTAAGAATGTTTTTCCAGCCTCCCATAGAAATTCTGAGGATTACATTCAGTCATAATTACAGTAATATAACACTCATCGTTACAGGATTGATAATAGACTAAGGAAAAAAATACTTCTGGTCTAGGAGTGTGATTACACTGATCACTATTCCTCTGTAATTTTCAAGAAAGGAAATATATGGTTACAGTTTTGCCTACAATAACGTACAGTGTTGTGGACATGCACATATTATGCTGAAGAGTTGATGTGAGATATTTAATAGAAATATTATTTCTATATGTTCCAGTTTTATGGGTATGCTCTGACAGAGACTTAAGCCACTTCAACAGTAATGGTGCCATAAAATTTCTACAACAAATGGAATTGTCCCTTATGAACACAATAAATGATTCTTGTATACTCAGTTAAAACAACCTACCCATCCACTACCCCACCCTCTCCCCAAACTAAGCTCAAGCCTATTGCTTTCATGTGTTATTGTTTTGTCTTCAGCAGCATCTGTCATTGAAGCTGGCTTTGAATGGGCTTCTCCCTAAGGGAAGAAAAAGTGAGTAGCAGCATCAGCAGTAATAGGTGGCAAAAAAAAGTCTTTTCCTCCTAGGGGAAGCTATTTTGTTAGTGACTAAGAAATGTGTTTGATTGTTATAAGCTTAGAAATAAAGGGATAAAAAGATACCATAGGACAATTCTACACCAATATTTTAGACTTACAATTCCTTCTATTGTTGAAATCCTGGGACAGATAGAATCCTTTTCTTCATAGACCAGCAATTCATATAAAGATTCTAGAGTTATTCTCATTTTACTGGGCTTGATAATTAATTGATAGTTTTAGCTAATCAATTGCATTTTAGTTAACTTAAATGAAAGACCGTCCCAGAAACAGGTCATTTCCTCCTATGCTAACTCCCTTCTCTCCCTAAATATAAAAGAAGCAGGGATCAGTGACTCATCACTAGCAATTCACCTCCCAATGATCCTGACCTAATGTAACTCCAAGACCCATCATAAACTTTTCACTGATGACTCATACCTGACCCATCACAAGACCCTCACTTGACACAACCACATCTGAAGCCCTTATAAACAGAACACTGACTCAGACATCTCTTAAACTCCACTGAAAAGGATACCTAGCCTGGTAGCGAAACATTCAGAAACCAACCCACAAGCTCGGAGAATGAACCTTCACCCTCATTTTAGAGATTTCTTCTTGTTAAGCAACAAGAAAGAAGGCTGCTAAGGCAAGTGTGGAAGTGGCAAATAAGGAAGTGTGGACTATCTTTTAAAAATTGATGGAGAAATATAAGGGCAGAAAGTTATGGTTGTAGCTTATTATTTTTAATCATTTGTAGCTTGGTCTGCTTTGCTATGGGTAGTTAAAACTATCTGATTTTTATGATTCCTGCTTGGTCAGCTACTCTTTGACTAAAGAGGAAGTTAAGAAGATGGAGGAGAAAATTATTAGAGATGTATTTGAAGAATCTTTAAATAAAATCCATCATTTCATCGAACAGCTATGCTCCAAAAGACTACTCAAACTACTTCAAAGATGCAAATATGTGTAGAAAGTTACCAAACCACTACAGCAATTTCACAAGTTGCTGACAACACAGAGGAGTCAACTATAATTTAGGAATATAAACCTGACAAGAATTTTTATTATGATGATTTAAATAGAAGCCTCCCAACACAATTGAAAGAAGAGCTCCAAGAAAATTTGCAATTTTTGAAAGGACAAGTTTGGGAATCTTTTTCTCGTGGATATTAACAAGGTGTCAACTTCCAGCTCAAATATCCAAATAACATCCAATAATATCCAAATTACTTTCATTTCTGAAAAGCTTACAGGTTTATTGAATATATGGCATAGTATAGGCAAAGGAAAACTAATTTTAACATCCCAAGGCATCTAACCATAACATATATATACCTGGCCATGTGCTTTTTATATTATTCATCCACGTGTTTAAAGTAGTAGAAGAGGGAATGTCTTGAGGGATCTCAGGCATAGTTACATATTCAATCCCAGAAGTTACTTTAAAAGGCAAAAAGCCAGTTTTGCTGTGTACTGCATTATTGTAATGGCACTTCAGCAAACAGCAATAAGTATGCTGAATCATTCTGATGATAATTTACATAGCACCTCATATATTGTTCTATCATTGCATTCATACATTCAGCCTCATCATTGGTACTCAGGTGAAACCCGGAACTGAGACCTTGTGATTGATCAGATGAACTCTCTCCAAAATCTTACAGTGAATTGTGCTCCTCAGCCCAATATTATTCAGTTAGGCACTCCATGCAGCCTATAAATATGCTGCACAAACATCTTGGCTAACTTCCTAGCTGAGGGAACTTTGGAGAAGCTGCAAAGTATGCTTATTTTGAAAATAAATCAACAATTGTCCATATAACAGTATTTCCACCACTCTCCAGTAATTCCATTATGAAATCCATTGCTATTTCTTGGCTACTGAGGGTTGGCTACTGATTGTAATAAATCTGGGGTTTTCCCAGGCAACTGCTTCATGGCTGCACAAACCATGCAGCTAGCTACATAGTCTTTGATATTCTTTTTCATTTTTGGCCACCAAAATTGCCTTTTCACAAGATGAAGAGTTTTTACAAACCAAAAATGACTGGCAGATTTTGCATCATGGGCTCAGCTCAATACCAAAGTCCTTTGACTATCTGGAATGTAGATTTTGGATCCTTCCCATGCCAGACCTTTTTTTTTTTTATCATAAAATCACTTTTATGGGTTTGAAACCAACTGTCTCTTGTTCCATAGACTCTTTAAATTTCTCCTTGGTGGATCCAAGGTTAACCAGGGTGGTATTCCCCTGCGCTAAATCCCTCACGCTGGTGCAGCAAGCTGGCTAGAAGAGATTATAGAGTTTATCACTTCCTTTTTGGTACTTTTGTATTGAGGCACTCATGAAAGGGCCTCAGCTAAAAAGTGTTTTCCTCCGGGTATGTAACAGAGACTAAAATTAAACTTCCCATATATGAAATGGATGCTCTGATTTATGGCCCTTTCCTTTTAATTTCAATGTCCTAAAAGATTTTCTGAGTATCTAAAAGTCATCTTCTCAGGCAACAATGTATAAAAAATTTTTTATTGGGTTAAAATAATAATGTGTTTGAAATATATCTGATCTGGTATTGATATTCAATATCAACCAAGAAACTGTGTTTGAGAACAGGCATATAACTTTGAAAATGAAAATATGTTTATCTTAGAACAAATATTAATCCACTACAACATTTATTTATTTATTTATTTATGAGACTTATATACCGCTTTAAGTGCAAGCACTCTCTAAGCGGTGTACACCAGTAAGCAATGTATATATTTACATTGCCCCCAACAATCTGGGTCCTCATTTTACCTACCCCGGAAGGATGGAAGGCTGAGTCAACCTTGAGCCGGTGAGATTTGAACCGCTGACCTGCTGAACACAGTCAGCTAAAGTGGCCTGCAGTACTGCACTCTAACTGCTCAACAGGTAAAGCAATCAGTTTAAAAAGTCCAGTAGTTTATAATACATATCATTCTTGAAAATACTCATAAAAACTTAGCATAAGAAAAATATGTTGTAATTAACAGCAGAATTAAAAGAAAGAAGAGCTAAGCTATATCCTAATGTATACAAATTCTTTGCCATAGAGCAATAGGCTTAAATTATCTATTACTATCCACTATCAGCTTGATTTCACTATTGCATTTGTAGACTGAGATTTCATCACAAGGTGCATTGATTTTTTAATCATATCTACGCACACTATTATTTCTACTTACGCCACTTATTTCTGGTTTTTACTTTATATGGATTGGACCCAGATTACAATTTCCTTCTTGGTAATGCTGTTGTCTTTTTATTGCTTGCTTACTGTTCTTAGAAGCAAGGAGACATATAAATCTTTGTACATGCGATAGTAGTAATTTTATTTATAGTCCTTGATATATTATCACATATAGAAATAAAACAAAAACAGAAAATCAAAACTAGAAAAAATACTATGGTGGGTTATATAAGCATGAAGCAAACATTTAGCAAATAATGTTTAGACTAAGCCCAAATTAAAATATGTGGGACTTGCAATCAGTGAAGTTTTAGTACATTTTCCCAACTGGTCATCTTCCAAATGATCAAGCTGGCCAAAAATTCTAACAGCTTTGGTTCAGGAGATCTAGAGGGCACCATACGGAGAAAAGCAATTAAAATTAAATATTAGATTTCTGCCTCATGCATAAAAGTAATGTTTACTTGATCTAATAATTCTTATCTTTTAAGATTATTTTCAGTGAATGACTTAATATTATCCCCAAATAAATAATCAGGTTAATCAACATGTTATCATTAATCAAATAAATACAGGCTATCCGAAAAGTCTTACACAAAGACTTTTAGAAAATCCTTATATTTGTATGCAAAATAGTTATTTTTTGCAAATACGTATCTCTAAATAATAGTTAATTTAATATTTTAGAAAGAATCCATGCAGAGAAAGGATAGCATATTAGTATACAAACATGACTTCCATGATAGTTCATGATCAAAATATCCCATAGCA